CTGACGACATCGTGATTTAACGAGCACATTCTAAGAGTTACAAGCTATGGTGGAGAAACTAGCAGATAACTCGCCCTACGTAGAACCAAAATAAAGATAACAAAAACAATGACAAAAACAATGACAAACGCAGATGGCCCTAAAGGTATAAGTAGAAATGAAAATGGTATAGAACAAGTCCAAGAATATATCTAACTAGGCCAAATTGTGAAACTTGACAAAGAGAACCAAAGTGATGAAATCACTAGAAGAGCAAAACTGGCAGCGGAAAGATTTGAAAAACTCTACTCTTAAGGAGCAAGGTTTTCTTTCACCTATTGCATCTTTCGTATCATGATATATGGATGTCAAAACTAGACCCTAACCGAGGCAAATATAATTAAAGTAGCCACAACAGAAAGTGCAAAGAAAAGGGCAGTGTTAGGTACACTACTGTCAGATAGAAATGGGAACAACCGGGTAAGATTAAAAACAAAAGTCGAGGATATCACAACAAAAATCTCCAAACTCAAATGAAGCTTCGACGGTCAAAGTTAGACAAAAGATCAACGTTGGAACCCGACAACTCAATACTGAAGCCTCACAAAGATACAGTACCAACACGAAGACCACAGTTGAGATGAGTATACGACATCAGTAAAACAGCTGGACTCGATTGGAGTTATGTTTCTCAGGATAGAGATCGGTGGAAGTTGTTGGAAAAGGCCGCCCAAGTCCAAAAATGAACCGCAGAATGATAAAAATAATAAGAACTGAAATAGAAGACGTCAATAGTAGTTTATAATGAAAAACAGTCCAAAAAAACAAGGGAAATATTTACTAATAAAAAATTGTTAAGACGTCCACTTACAAACTACACAAGGAATGAGAGGCACTAATAACAACGAACTCAACATAAAAGGCAATACGTTTAAAGGTAGTGTTACGATTTTAAATGTTATGGCGTATAGAACTGTAAATATTTTATGACTAATTCTTTTGTATTGATTCTCGTAATTTCTAGGTCAAAAATCTACCTGACATCATTTGGGTCCCCTACGCTAAACAAACAACAATCGAATTTTCTGGGGACGAGCCGATGAAGAACATACCAGTTTTGAGACCGGTTGCCGCTGTGTCTACGTCGAGAACGGCATCGTATTTTCTACAAAATTCTGTTTACCATCTGGTTTCGTATAAATAACGGAAGATTTCCATTGAGGAGTTAGTCAACAAGAAGCTCGCGATATCGGTTTAAAATTGTTCGAACGAAAATGAGTTATTTGTAATTATTAAGTGTAAAATAAATTAGTATAAAATAAAGACTTTTGATAAATTATCGTGAGTTTTAATAAATTAGAATAAAGACAGTAAATTAGAATAAAGACAATAAATTAGAATCTCCTCCTCAGTCGTTTCCTCATTGCTGAGTGTCGTGATTCCCTATAATACGAGCCACTATCTCTTTCCATCGGCTTCTGTCCTGAGCTTCCCTCATGGATTCTGAAAATGTTTTTCCACTGGCTTTCTGTACCTGATCCGTCCATCGAATAGGTGAGCGACCTCTACTTCTGCGCCCTTCAACGTTTCCCGAAATTATAAGTCTCTCAAGATTATCATCACTTCTTCTTGCAATATGGCCGAAAAATTTTAAGACGGTGGAGAGGCAAATAGACGAAAGTCGAGTCTGAATATTAAGCTCTTGGAGGATTGAGTGATTTGTTCTGTGTTCCGTCCATGAGATCCGAAGCATTCTTCTCCAGCACCACATTTCAAAAGCGTCAATCCTTTTTCTGTCGTCCGATTTGATTGTCCATGTTTCGGATCCGTAACTAAATATGGGAAAAATTAATGCACGTACTAATCTTATTTTGGTGTTCTTCGACAAGGCGCGATCTTTCCAGATTTTTGATAATCGACTCATAGCGTTTTTAGCCATGCCTATTCTCCTACGTATTTCTGTTTCACAAGATCCTGTATTATTGATGTAGGATCCTAGATAATTGAACTCGTTAACCACTTCAAACTGGTCCAAGGCTCCTGTTGTCTGAAGTGAATTTGAATAGTCTACTATCATAATTTTTGTTTTTTGTTTATTGATCTTGAGACCACATCTATTGCTTTCGACTTCCACTAGCTGCAGCAGGCTGGACATTTCTTCTTCGGATGCAGTTATTAATGTTGTATCATCTGCATATCTGAGATTTGAGATCTTTTTTCCTGCTATAGAAATACCGCCATTCCATTTGTCGAGTGCTTTTCTCATTATATATTCCCCATAGAAATTAAAAAGACTTGGAGATAGAATACATCCTTGTCGGACTCCTCTGCCTATTTTAAAAGGATCGGACTTATGATTTTCAATTCTTATTCTGGTTTCACTGTTCTCATATAGACTTTTCACCAGAGCTGACAGATGATCAGGAACCCCCATCTCATGTAGAACTTTCCACAAAACTGTCCAGTTTACACAGTCAAATGCCTTCTGATAATCCAGAAAGCAGATGATCATCGGAATTTTGAATTCTCGTGCTTTCTCAATGAGTTGTCGCATATTAAGAATTTGCTCCCTTGTGCCTTTACCCTTAACGAAGCCTGCCTGTTCTTGTGGTATTTGTCTATCCAGGTATGTCTGCATGCGACACTTGATAATTCTCAACAGAATTTTACTTGGGTGTGAAATTAGTGAAATTGTTCGGTAGTTACTACATTTTGTGGTTACGCCTTTCTTATGAATGGGAATAAATAGTGCGGTACACCAATCGCTGGGCCATTTACCGATTCTCCATACATGATTGCACAGTCTCCACATTAATTGGATACCATGTTCACCCATGTTCTGTAAAAGTTCTGCCGTGATATTATCGCAACCAGGTGATTTATTTCTTTTAAGGTGTTTTATGGCTTCCTCGACTTCAGACCTTAGAATATCTGGTTCTAGTGTTGTTGCTGAGACTTGCAGTGCTGTTGTATGCTTAATGTTAGAGGTTTCAGCTTTATAGAGTTCTGTGCAGTATTTCTTCCAAGTCTCCAGAACTGCATCCATATCGCTTACCATATTGCCTGTCTCATCCTCTATAGCGTAATTTCTGGGTTTGAATTCCCGAGCCAGTAACTTTACTTTCTGAAAGAGATCTCTTGTTTCATTTCGATGTAAGTGGATTTCTACTTCCTGGCAAATGTTAGACACATATTTGTCTTTATCTTTCCGGCAATTTCTTTGGATTTCTCTTGATAAGCTTCGATAGTCGTTTAAATCAAAACTGCCAACTTTAAGTTGCCTTCTTTGTTCTATAATTTTCCATGTTTGGTCACTGATCCATGGTTTACGACTGTTGTTTTTTATGGGTTGGCGACTTTGCTTAGCTGTATCTAATATATCTTTTTTAAAAACTCCCCAGAAAGTCTCGATATTATCTATGGGGGTAGTACTTGTCTCAGTTAACACTGGGTTTATTCTTTCTTTGAAAGTTAAAAGTTCAGTCTCTGTAAGCATGGGAGTTCTAGGAGTGGGCTTGTGTTTGTTTCTAAAACGTATTCGGAATACAGCTACAAGAAGTTGGTGGTCGCTTCCACAATCTGCACCTGGATAAGTTTTTGCGTTAGTGACTGAGGACTTCCACCTTGAATTTATCATTATGAAATCTATCTGATTTCTTGTTCGGTCGCCCGGTGATTTCCAAGTGTAGAGCCTTCGTGGGTGGTGTTGGAAGTAGGTATTCATTACAGACAATTTTCTTTGGCCACAGAACTCTATTAATCTATCGCCTCGTTCATTTCTTTCCCCAAGACCAAAAGGACCCAAGGTGAATCTCATATGATGATCAAGCTGAGTTCTACCAATTTTGGCATTGAAGTCGCCCACTATCACTACAATGTCCTTGTTAGATATTTTGTCGAGTGTTGTCTCCAAAGTTGTGTAAAAATTTTCCACAATTATGTCGTCTGCTGTTGATGTAGGGGCATATACTTGTATAATGTGTAAGACACAAGTTGATCCTAGAATCCTAAGGTGGATGATTCTATCATTAATTGTATCATATCCACAAACAGAGTTTTGGAGTTTTGAAGAAACTATTATTGCGACACCATTTTTACTTTCATTTTCATTGCCCGAGAAATATACGATGTTTCCGGAAATGCTACGAAAGTGTCCTGTCCCCTTCCAGTGGGTTTCACTTATACCAAGAATCGAAACACCATGATCTTTCATTTCTCTCTCGACTATATGTAGTTTTCCAGGATGCTGTACTAAACCTTGTATGTTCCAGGTTCCTATTTTGTGGGTCTTCCGGAAAAACATCTTGTTATAATTGGATGTTCCAGTAGCATATTTCGCACTTGCGACCTGGTCCCCTATCGCATTGTGCCCGGTAGCACATTTCACATCTCCCACCCCGGACGTGGGATAACGCCGATTGTCAATCGGATCGCCTGACTGCACACATATATTCCGTCTATCACTCATATACACAGGGAATTCTCTTAGGAAGAAGTAGTGCAGTGGTTTCCTCTTGCCTTCTGCACCGCAGTATCACAGCCGGTTAAATCATTATTTGATTGCCGCCTGTGAATATGTGATATCAAACCTGAGAGAAGGTTATTTTCCTTCAGCCTTGAATCACTAATGACATAGCTGCTGCCCTATGCCATATCCTCAGTTGATCCGCGGGTGCTTATTTGGTAAGACCTTATTCACACCTGTCCTATATATCTATAGGAACGTTCCCTATCAGCCATTGGGACGCGTCGTGTCGAGGTTGAGGACTCCCCCGCCCATTTGTCTTCCGTGAAGTACAGAAGAGCCCCTACTCAATTCAGAACTCCCCCTTCACGCAAGCTAAAACAGACACGACACGACAAATTAGAATAAAGACAATAAATTAGGACTAATCAAAATATTACAGTAGTGATATTTCAAGTACAACAACCTTTTCATACAGAAGTGTTAAAGACTGCTTTCAATGAACAAATGTAACTTGTATACTCACGTTTCAGTTTATGTTATAATAATTACTTACTCTCCAATTCTTCGATTTCTTTTTATTTTTCCCAGTTCTTTTGAATCCAATTCTTCTTTTTTAGATGTTTCAGAAGAATCATTGAATAGTCTAAAATAAATAATACATCATTACTTATGGTTAATAAAATAAAAAGATAGTAGAAAGAAATATTACGTGGCAATAAAATATTCTGTAACTGTTTTCCTGTGACATTTAACTTAGATATTTATATGGGATTAAACCACAATTGATTGTAATGAGCATATTACATTTTATATTTGTTTTGGCTTTACGATTTCCAACCCATAAATTGTTTTAAAAAAAATCTGAAATAAATATTTTCAAATGCTTTTAATCTGTACCTGGGTTTAAAAATTTTAGAAATAAATTTGTATTTTTAACGTAAATATACATGTAGGGGAAAAGATAAGGTAGCTAGTTCACTGATTTAAAATAATCCGATCAATTTAGACATAAAAATTACCGAAAAGCCAGATATTGGTGGAGAGGTGGGGTTTACCATTACAAATAAAGTTTTGAAAATCCCCATCAATCGTATATGTACTACAAAAGTTATTCGAGGTCAAAGGTCAAAATTTGAGCTTTTTGAATTTTTCTCGAAAACAAAAAGTTTTTTTTTAAACCTCAAAACAAAAGTTGTAGATCTTAAAATTCTTCATAAAATTAGTCTTTATAATCTTTTTTCCTAAGAGTTACATTCCTGAGATATCGCGATTCTAAGAGTGAGATTATACATGATAAGCGTATATAAGCCACGCATATACATATTAGGCACTTAAGATAAGTATAAATACATATTTGTATCTCTTATATATATTATACTACTCTAAAAAGATTTATTCAAAAGATAGTCAGTCCCTAACTGAATCCCCTCTACCTTCTTCTTCTTTGGGTGCCGTGTCCGTATTCAGACGTTGGCCGTCATCATGTTTACAATTTCCTGAAACCTTTCTCTGTCGGCTGCTGCGCGAAATAATTCTTCTACTGTGAAACCACACCATTGTCTAATATTACGCATCCATGAAAGTTTCTTTCGACCAATCCATCTCTTTCCTTCCACTTTTCCTTGTATTATAAGGCGAAGTAAATGGTATTTGGGTCCTCTAATTATATGGCCGAAGTATTCTGTTTTTCTCCTCTTTATGATGTTTATGAGCAGACGTTCTGAGTTGATCATTTGAAGAACATCTTCATTGGAAGTATGCGAAACCCACGATATCTTTAGGATTCGTCTATAGCACCACATTTCGAATGCTTCTAACTTGTTTAGCATTGTGGTTTTTAACGTCCATGTTTCACAACCATACAATAGGATCGACCACACATAACATTTCAGGACCTTTTTACGAATGTTCATTGACAGGTTTCTGTTGCATAATACTGGTTTCCAGGTCATAAAAGTCTTACGTGATATTTCGATCCTGGATATTATCTCTTCATCAGAATCACAATTTACATTTAACCAGCTGCCAAGGTATTTGAAATGATTTACCCTTTCTATCTCTTCTCCATTAAGAGAAAGCAGACCTTGATCTATATGGATCTTTCCAACTGCCATCCACTTTGTCTTTAAAATGTTGATTTTTAGGCCTCTCCGATAACTTGCTTCACTGACTAGATTTAGTAATGTTTGGAGATCTTGTAAACTTTCTGCAAGAATGGCTGTATCGTCAGCGTATCTAATATTGTTGATTACTTCTCCACCTAGTCTTACTCCCTCTTGTCTGTCATCCAAAGCCTTCCTAAAGATTTCTTCAGAGTACAGATTAAAAAGAGTTTGTGACAAAACACAACCCTGCCGTACTCCACGTTTGATGGGTATTTTTTCAGTGGGACTGTCTCCAATTTGGATAGAGGCTACTTGATTGTAATATAAGTATTTCAGCAGTCTTATATCATAGTGGTCAAGTCCTGCTGCCCTTAGGCAGTCGAAAAGTGTATTGTGTTGGACTCTGTCGAACGCCTTCTCAAAGTCGATGAAACAAACATAAACATTCTTTCGGAATTCACAACTTTTTTGTAATAGAACGCGCATACAGAATAGTGCCTCTCTAGTTCCTAGACCGTTTCTAAATCCAAATTGCTTATCACCCATCTTACTTTCGCATAGAAGGAATACTCGGTTTTGTATAATTCGTAAGAGTATCTTCAGTGTGTGACTCATCAAACTGATTAGTCTAAAATCGCTGCATTTGGTGGGCCTGCTTTTCTTTGGTAATGTTATAAGCAGTGACTCTAACCAATCGTCTGGTATTTTTCCTTCGTTGTAAATTTTGTTGAAGAAAGTGGTTAAGCAGGCAATGCTTTCCTCATCCAAAAGTTTAAGTAGTTCGGCAGGGATTTGATATGGTCCAGGTGCTTTATTGTTTTTGGCTTGCTGTATTGCCTTTTCGACTTCCGAATTCAGTATATTGGGACCTCTGTCCAACTGGTTGTCATAGGCAGTATTTGGAGCATTTTCCCTAGAAGCATCGTCAAAAAGGTCAGTGATGTATCTCTCCCATTCTTTGCACTGTTGTTCGTGATCACAAATTTTTCCGTCCGCGCTTTTAAGTATGTGAGCATTTTTCTGTTTTCTAATTCCGGCAGTATATTTAAGTTTCTTATGCAGGTTGAAGCTGTCATGCTTTTTTTGGAGGTCTTCTATTTCTTTACATAAATTCTTAAGCCAGGATTCTTTGGCTTGCTTAATTTTTTTTTATGCGTTTATTAATTTCACGATATTCGATAATATTTCTATTTTTGTGTTGCCGTCGAACTTCCATTAGATCTAGAATTTCTTGTGTCACCCACTCATTTTTTGCCAACATGGTAGGTGTTTTCAAAGACTCTTGTACGTTCTCTTAAATCGAGTTTTGAATGGCATACCAGCATTCGTTAATGGTTCTGTTTTCGTTTGGTATATTTGATATTCTGTGTATTTTACTATTTATTTGCTGTGTTATATGTTTGCGCGTTTGAGGGTTTTTCAGGGGGTCGAGATATATCTTACAAGGCTTAGTTGGCTTTGTTAATTTCTTCAATTTGATTTGTATTTTGGAGCAGAGTAAATTGTGATTTGAGTTTATGTCAGCGCCGGGGTAAGTTTTTATATCTTTAATATTGTTTCGAAATCGGTGGTTTATTAGGATGTAGTCTATTTTATTCCGTACTATTCTGCCTTGATGTCCATCTTGAGGGGATTTCCACGTGTAAAGACGCCTTTCTGGAAGTTGAAACCAGGTATTTGTAATGGCGAAGTCATTTTCTTGGCAGAATTCTATTACCCCTCTACCTACGTGGCCTTAAAAAATATCTGGATATTCTATTGTCTGTAGGTCTCAGGTTCAGTTCAAATGAATATACGTACTTACTACAAGCGTCTACGATTACGGTGATTTGTGCTATTTTATAGTTCTAAAAAAATGTGAAGATAAAACGCTTATGGTTGATAGTGGAATGCCAAATTTAATCGAGGCTAGTGTCGCTAGAGATGGTGAGTTAACTGAGTATTTAAGAACTCAAAAATCCCTTTCAGTATACGTGGATTGCAGAAAATCATTTACTCGGAAAACTTCAATCGCTACAGTAAAAAGGTAACGTGAGGAACAGCCTAGTACTTCCAAAATAAGTTCATTTCGACCCCATTGGGTAAAAAAAACACAGTGTGAAAAGTTGAAGTTATTTCAACAAAAACACGATAGGTTTAATATGCATAAAAAGGTAAAATAAGCAACTGGTCTTCAAAAATCTAACACACTAGCAAACTGCAAGATCAACAGGGAAATATCGTCCCAGATAAAAATCAATAGATATGCATATGGACCAAATACACACAAAAACTCTTTAGTGATAATAGGTCCGAACAATATTATATATTGTTCGATCAATATTACACTCGATTCAACCACTTGCTTTTTAGTGAAACTGTACACCACACTCTACACAGCAATCATTATCGTCCACGTCGTCATCATAGTCTTGCAAGGCGATATCCAGCCATAAGTCGGATTCGGAGTCACTGGAACACGCTTTTCGTTTCTTAGATTGCTTCGTTTTGGTATTTCCTTTTGTGGTCTTTTTGGTTACTGTTTTTTCTTTGATCAGTGAATCAGTGTTTTAGCATTTGGTCCACTCTTTACTGACGTAATTGTTTTTATGTTGTCGTTTTTTGTTTCGTAGGTTGTCGATGATTCCTGAAGAATTCAAAATCTCTCAGCTAGAGTTCTAGAATTCTTCCTTGTGAGTGAAATTTTATCTAGGATAGGTATGGGCGAAATATGATGGAGTTTCCCAGGCGTTGTTTGACATTTTTCTGTTGTCACTGTTAACGCTTTCAGTCATGCTGGGTATACTTGTACCCATTAATTTGAATGCATATATAATTCTACAGGAATCTGCAACTTAGGCAAGTTTATCGAAATCTATATTCTATAAGTACTATACTTCTGCATTTTGTACCTAGATGGCGCATGGATGGTTTTGTGCTATAAGAAAATTAATGTCAAACGCAATATGTCGGCAATTGCATTGTTCATAAGAGGTAAGTGTACTTGTTTCTTCAAATATTAGTTTGAATAAAGTCAATCGCCGTTTATATTTCAGTGCAATGTTGAAAGTAGTGTTACATTTTACTAATTGTGAATATATTTTATTGAAATTAAATTTTTTTCAAATATAGAAGTGTGCTTCAAATTCGATGGGCACAATTGTAGCCAAAATGACTCAGTGTTATTTGAGTAAAATGCCTCCAAAAAAGTATTTAACTGAGAAGGAACTCCTAAAAGAGCTGGAAAAACTGTCCGACATAGAAGGATTTGTTAGTGATGACGACAGTGACTGCGAAGAAAAAATACAAGTAAGACAGAGAGTTGGACATATGATAGATGATGTCTCAGAAAATCAAAACGAATTGGAGGACGAGGAAGAGGATCTGGAAACCAGACAGAGCGACGACAAACTGTGGAAAGTTCGACCAGTTTGTGAATCAGTCCTAAAGAGATGTAGAGAACTGCATATAGAAAAAAATATTTGCATAGACGAACAAATCATGCCTTTCAAAGGGAGATTGTCTATAAAATATTACATCAAAAATAAGCCTAATCCAT